ATGCAACGTAGCCTTTGGGAGATCAGCTTGCCTCTAGGGGAATCATCAACCAGTCTCAATGTTGTAGATGTGGAGAACCAGAATCTACGAAGCATCTTTTCTTTCATTGCCAATTTACTCAACAAGTTTGGCTCTTGGCTCCTTTTATTTCACAGGTGGATCTTCTTCAAGTTGCGGACCTTCACTCAGGTTTATCACTCTCGAAACAACTTGAATGTCTACCACCAACATGCATCGCATCTGAACCTTTACTACCCTAGATCCTTAGGACCCTGTGGACCGCAAGAAATAACAAAATATTCAACAATCGATCTTTCATAGAGGAAGAAACAATAGTCAAGGCTATTCAGGATGCCAAAGAGTGGATCGAGGCTCAACTATCAATTCCTACGAAAGCTAGTCAAAGAGATGAACACAGATTACACTTACCGAAGAACGGATTGCGACTCTTCTCGGATGGGGCATGAAATCCAACTACAAGAGATGCGGGATTGGGATAGATGGTGTACCGCGCCAACAACGAGATCGCCATACAGGGAGCAAAGGGAGTGGATCGGATCTTGAATCCACTAATGGCCGAAGCCGCAGCGATGAGAGAAGGTCTGTTTCAAGCGTCGATCCGGGGACTCGGGATCGAGAGCGTGGTCTCTAATTACATGCAGCTCGTCACTTTGATCAATACAAGAGCTTATCACCTAGACATCTATGCGATCATCCAAGACATACTCCAACTCTCTATCGATCGAAAAATCTCTTCTTTCACCTTCATTCCAAGAGACCTAAATGCACAAGCCGATACTCTGGCAAAATCGGCACTGAGTACCGAAACGGGCCTGTCCTGTTTCGGCCCAATTTCAGTTTAACCAATTAATGAAAAAAATTTCGACCAAAAAAAACAAAAAAAAGAGGTGGCTTACCTTAAAAAAAACCATTCACACTTGACAAATGGATTTTTGTCATTAATTTTGCATAAATAAGGTTCCTTATTTGTTTATGATCGTTAGTAAGATCTCGAAAACGAACGTTTAAATTTTAAAAGCTCAACTCATTTAGCATTGAAAATTCATCCTTCTTTAGTTCTGTTGGTTAAAACAATAAATTTATTCCTGAAAACTTTTGTGTTTTATCTTATAGTACACAAGAGATCCAATGCTTATTACAACTACATTCATACCTTATGTGATGCTCCTCAATCCACAAATCCATGTTCGCATGAAACTATTTACCAACTCAATGAGATTCGTTTTTTATAACTAGCACTGCTTGTTAGGAAAATAGCATTTTGACTAATTCCATAGCCTATTCCAAATGTATCATATTCGATGCTTTTTTTTAACTTCTTCCTTAGTAGCATTGCTAATAATGACTATTATTATTATGCGGATCATTATTATGCGGTCTTTTGAACTTATAATGATCATTATGCGGATCATTATAAGTTGTTAACATCTAAAATGAAATCAATTATTCTTCGAACTCTACTATAAAAAGAAACATGTCTTTCTTTCCGGTATGTATATAAATAAAATGGAATCACTGATTTGTCAATGCTAATAATCCTCGTATTTAATTTTCAAATTGCAATACATTTGAATTAGCCGTGTGATTGTAAACCTTTAAATACACAAAGATTTTTTAGTTTTATTAATTTATCTCACAATTGGGCAAAAGTCTCGTCGTTTTATAATGTGAATGCTCCAGCTATATCCGCAAATGAAAACATGACACGTGGTCTCCATTTCCCGTGTTCGATCTTCAGACATAAAAAGACCTTCAGACACGGAGATATTTTCTCTCTCGATTGACTTTTTTGACTAAGAGAAAAAAAAACAATGGGACACAGACACAGCAAGTCCAAATCCTCCGATCCACCACCGTCTTCCTCCTCTTCCTCCGGCAACATTGTCCACCATGTCGGAGAACACCGTGGATCCTCCGGTACCGGAACCGTCAAATCCTCGGATTCAGGGATCGTCAAATCATCCTCAGGATCCTCCACATCTACTCAACAGATTGGTCGGATCTTAGGCCGTCCGATGGAGAATGTCCGAGCAGCCTACGAGTTCGGTCGTGAGCTAGGTCGTGGCCAGTTTGGAGTGACCTACCTCGTTACTCACAAAGAGACCAAACAACCTTTCGCCTGCAAGTCAATCCCCACGCGCCGCCTTGTCCACCGTGACGACATTGAAGATGTTCGCCGTGAAGTCCAGATTATGCATCATCTCAGTGGTCATCGGTAAAATTATGCTTAACTTTGAGATTTTATCCGAAATCGAATCTGAAATGCATTTTGTTTCCCTAAGGGTCCATTAGCAATAAGAATATATGTTAGATTGGATAATGTTGGTCTATAACCAATGCTCAAGTTTTGTTTAAAAGGGTTTCTTCGTTTTACATATTTAATGAGCAGTTTGCATCCTATGTAGATGAAAAGTATTCAAAAAGAACAATAATATACATTTCTTTAGAAAGGGGGTTTACTATTTGGTGGTCCTATGTTAAACTATCGAGTTACTCACTAAATGTTTCCATTTTGATCATCTTTTGACCCGAGATTAGGTGTTTAAATCTAGCTTGAGTACTCTTAAAGGTTTGCAGGAACAATGATCTTTGTTGTGTGTGATTTTGTAGGAACATAGTGGACTTGAAGGGAGCTTATGAGGACAGACACTCGGTGAATCTGGTGATGGAGTTGTGTGAGGGAGGGGAACTGTTCGATAGGATCATAGCGAAAGGTCATTACTCTGAGAGAGCTGCTGCGGATTTGTGTAGGCAGATGGTGATGGTTGTGCATAGTTGTCATTCTATGGGTGTAATGCACCGAGACTTGAAGCCTGAAAACTTTCTCTTTCTGAGCAAAGATGAGAACTCCCCATTGAAAGCTACAGACTTTGGCCTCTCAGTCTTCTTCAAGTCAGGTTAGAACAGGCTAGAGGCATCATCTATGTTGTAGTTTCTGCATTTGTAGTCTATCTATTCCCTGATGGTATTGATCGATAAAATTGCAGGAGATATGTTTAAGGATCTTGTTGGAAGTGCATACTATGTTGCTCCAGAAGTTCTACGCCGGAACTATGGACCAGAGGCTGATATCTGGAGTGCTGGTGTGATTCTGTTCATCCTTCTCAGTGGTGTCCCGCCTTTTTGGGGAGGTATTTTTGCCTTGATCTGATTTAGAAAGAGAATACTGTTTTCACGGTCTAGATATGATGTTTAGTTATCCTTTGTTTTCGATTGCGTAGAAAATGAAGCGGGGATCTTTGACGCCATTCTTCAAGGAAAGCTTGATTTTTCAGCTGACCCGTGGCCAGCAGTATCACCTGTTGCCAAAGATCTTGTGAAGAAAATGTTGAAATATGAGGCCAAAGACCGACTTACAGCTGCTGAAGTGCTAAGTAAGACCCCTTTGCAACATGTTTGGATGAATAAAATTATCGAAAACACTGTGTTTTTAATCCAGTATTTATACATATGTAGATCATCCATGGATTAGAGAAGATGGGGAGGCATCAGACAAACCGCTTGACATTGCAGTGTTATCCAGGATGAAACAATTCCGAGCGATGAACAAACTCAAAAAGATGGCCCTGAAGGTAGTATTAGAACACTACTAATGGAAGCCATCTTATCATCTCTGTCATAATTTATGTCATCTTCTTGTTCTAAAAGCCAATCTTCGCTTTTCGTTTTACATTTCAGGTTATCGCAGAGAACCTTTCTGAAGAAGAGATCATTGGTCTGAAAGAGATGTTCAAATCTCTAGACACTGATAACAATGGAATAGTCACATTGGAAGAAATGAGAACCGGTCTCCCAAAACTTGGTTCTAAGATTTCTGAGGCTGAAATCAGACAGTTGATGGAAGCCGTAAGTCTCTAAACCCGCTGCTTTGATGTCTGAATCCGTTGCAGTAACCAAAAGCTAATATATTGTTTTCATTTAGGCTGATATGGATGGAGATGGATCAATTGATTACTTGGAGTTTATATCAGCTACAATGCATATGAACAGAATCGAACGTGAGGATCACTTGTACACTGCTTTCCAGTATTTCGACAAGGACAACAGCGGGTAAAACATAATTCTTTAGCTAGCTCTCTCTCTCTTTAACAAACTATAAAGTCTCACTCTTTGATCTTGATTTGTGTTATAAGCTACATAACAATGGAAGAACTAGAGCAAGCCATGAAGAAATACAACATGGGTGATGATAAATCCATCAAAGAGATCATTGCTGAAGTAGACACCGATCGTGTATGTATACATTATTAATCTTTGGTTTTGGTCTTAGTCACTCATATATCCGTATGCATCGAGTTTATAATCTTTCGCTATGTTGATATCTCTAGGACGGAAAAATCAACTACGAAGAATTTGTAGCGATGATGAAGAAGGGAAATCCAGAATTGGTGACAAACCGACGCAGAGTCATTATGTAAAAACGTTACATATCTTTCTCTTATCTTTTCCTTCCTCGCGGCCGAGAGATCTTTTGTTGTTATTTTTGGGTTTGGTTCTCACTTTCCTGCAAAAATCTCTTTTATGAACACAACCATTGGATTCAAAAGCCATCATTTTCAGGATTGTTTCATTTCATGATAGATTGTAACTACATGTAATTGCTGGTCCATCTTTTAGATTCCACTTGCAAATAGTCA